TATATATATATATATATATATATATATATATATATATATATATATATATATATATATATATATATATATATATATGTATGTATATACACATATACATATATTAGGGCTGTACCGAATATTCGCTTCGGGGCCGAATAGTGGACCTAATAACTATTCGGTATTCAGCCGAATAGTTGCGGTCGGGCCGAATACGAATAGTGGTTACCTTACACCCGTTTCTGCACTGGTGGAAAATGAACATATCAAGATTTCCCACCTTGGTTCATACTGCCTTAATGCTGACAACATGGAACGATTGTTTTTTATTTTTTGATAAGAAACAGAATAGGACAGGCAAAAACTGCATTTTATAAAACGAAGAACATCTTATGCAATATATCTTTGTCATTGAAGGTTAGAAAAAGAATTCTTGCTTGCTACATACATCCAGTTTTAACATATGGATGTGAATCCTGGACAATCGGTATGCAGGCCAAACAATAACTTGGACAGCAAAAAAAAAAAAAAAAAAAAAAAAAAAAGAGGTTTTGAAAGAGGCAAGACAACTACTCACAGACATCAGGAGACAGTCATCATTTTTCGGCCATATTATAAGATGAGGGGAAATGGAACATGTGGTGACCACTGGAAAGATCTGTGGAAGGAGGGATAGAGGAAGACAACGAGAGAAGATTCTTGACAGTCTTGTTGCATGGCATAGAGGTGTGTCAGCACACGAACTAATTCATGCTGCAGGAGATCGCAGAATGTGGCAAGGTAATCGCCCATGTCAGTCGGCAAAGCATCTGATGATGATGATTCACTATTCGTATTCGTATTCGGTCGAATAGTTGGTCCAGCAATTCGTATTCGGCCGAATAGTGAAAATCACTATTCGGTACAGCCCTAATATATATATATATATATACACAGACATACACACACGTTTTTTTTTTAAGACGTTATAACGGTTTTGTAATTTGAAAATTGACAATAATGGTACCTTTTGGTGTGTTTTTGTTCCCTTGCAACCCCCCCCCCCCCCCCCAAATGTGGCACTGTTCCCAAAAATATCTCGGCAGCCCTGACAGGCACCCATCCAAGGTTGCACGCGCATATCTGCCGTGTCAGCGAGTTCCTCCTAGCAACTAGAGCAACTGGGCTACATAACAGTGCAGGGCTGCCGGAACCGGAGGCGTCCGCAGGCCCCTTGGGGTGCCCCAATATTATGAGAGTTGAGGGCTCTCTCTCTCTCTTTTCCTAGACAGTTCGAAAGGAGGAGATAAGTAGGCGCCGCCCCTCCCCCTCCCCGCCTAAAAAAAATACGAAAATAAATTCTCTTTTGAAGAATATGTTTGGTGCGGATCCGTTGCTTAGAGGTGAATGCGGTTGACAATATCGCGATCCTCCGGTACCAGGGTTCGATGCAGGTTTATCAGCAACAACAACAACACAGACACACACAAAACGTTCTCACTGTTTACGGACATAAGCACAAGAATCGCACTTTGGAAGAGATTGGGGTTTTCACTACGTAATAATCCCCAAAGACGGCGATGATACACTGTAGCCAACATTCATTGCCGAGACGACAGTGTTACACTGTGGCCAGCCTTCACTTCGGAGACGCTGCACAACTTGGTGGAATACTGATGCAAGATAAGGCAGGAGTGGTTAGGGCCTTGTGGGAGAGCGTCTACAGTTCAGAGGAGCAAATGGATCGCCACAGTCTGGTGAGAGTGATGCAGCGGGGAGTGACGGGGGAATCTGGTCGATCGATACTCGACACTCAGAGGAAAGGCAAGACGAAAGCATAATCAGAGTACTATTGGCACCACTGGTATTGGGACTCTGTGCTTAGCCTGTGATTTGCATTAAAGATTGTTGTGTATGCTCTGTGAGTGTATGGTTTAGTGTGTTCTAGGAGAGACAGACTGTATGCCACAGGCGTCCACAGTGAGCCACATACCATTACGGTAGAACAGAGCTATGTGGCAATCCTTATTTTTATTATTATTATTATTATTACTGTTATTACTGTTATTACTATTACTACTACTTTTGTTGTTAATACTACTTTTATTATTACTTTTATTATTACTATTATTATTACTACTACGTCCTCGTGTGGGTTCCGGGGCCCTACTATAGGAGAAACAAGAATGGACCCACTGCCTGCCCAAAAGCATGTCGTAAGAGTCGACTAATTGGGAGCTTCCTTCGAAGTCAGAGTGCATCTGCCTGAGAGGCTAGGAACCAACAGTCGGCATACAGATCTGTCAAACGGATGCACACGCAACACTCAGGTTCTGGGACAGGACTGCAGTCCAGAAGTGGACGAACGGCCAAAGCTTTCCACCGGAGTTTACAGCCGGTGAACGAGAAGAAGAAGAAGATTACTACTACTATTATTACTATTGCTACTACTATTATTATTACCATTACTACTACTATTATTATTACTATCATTATTATATTATTCCGCACTTAAACTAAACCTAGGTCCTTGAGGCCTCCTTCTCGCATTTAGAAAATTGTAATGAGGCTTGCTGCGTGCCGCCAAACTGGTCGACGCTCCTGCTACAGACCCAACAGATATCATCTGCTGGCTAGGCAGACGCACAACTGCGCTTGTGAATATTTTTTCCAAGTGCAATGGATTTGTTTTCTTTTCTGTTTCTGCCGACGTTCTATTCTGGTACCTTGAGTGAGAAGATAACGACTGTTCATATCTCGGGTTTGGAGTTTCTGACCCGACTTTCGCCCTGTGTGCTGTGCTCACGTCTCGTGCAGCTGCAGTAGCCATGTTAGTGCGGTCGATAGGAGACTCGCTTTTAAATCCCGCTGCAGCCCACGGCCGGTGTAGGAAACCGGGCGGTTCCCGAGGGTTCACCCAACCTCTAGGTAATGGGTACCAGAGTTAACACTCTGGGGTAAATGGAAGAACGTGGCTGTAGCTACGGAGTTACGTGCGGATGGCGACACAGGCGGACAGTTTCTTATCAGTTGTCCGTACTGGTGGCAGAGCACTTATGGTTTATAACCGTGTGCAATGACGCTGGTTCACATTGCCCGACTTAACCTTCTAGCTGCACAGGTAGGCTTGTCTAAGGCTACTCCTACAAATTCTTGGCGCCCAGTAGGTTCGGGTGAAACTAGCGGCGGTCGCGGACATGTGCTAATGTTAATATTACGTTAACTTGCAAAAACAAAAGTATAGATCCCTTTTCACGCCTCAGGCGCATCGAGTATATGGGTAGAGCGTCTCATATTTTTACAGACAAATCGGCACTGGGTGGGCAATGTTATCAGCATTACGCCGGCCGTCTTTACTTCCCCAGGACAGCCATCCTAGTACCCACTTTAGGCTGGGTCGACCTGCGACGCCCCATACCACGATAAAAATCCACGCAGCCAACAGTGGGTTTCCATCGGGGTACGTTGGAATTCCGAGTCGGACTCGCAAGGCCTAAGCCATGGACGCCGCTTGTGTTAACTTGGGCATATCTTTTTGCCTATCCCCCCCCCCCCCCCCCCCCCCCCCCCCCCCTCTTTCCCTTTAAAGGAGAAACAAAAACGGCGCTGGTTTCTCACCAAAAAGTGTCTAAAACGTGGATGATTAATTAAAAAGCTCTGAAATAAATAATGACAATTTAAAAGGTGCCTGTACCCTGTGCTGCTGACTATCACCGGGAAAAAATCTCTGGTTTTAGAACTTTATTTTCTCTACTCCTGTAATGTCTCGTAGCGTCAGGACAGGATGAGATCTCTGGAACAGGGCCCTTCTGTTCCTTTCGTCTATAATACTTTTCAGACCATTTTCGACGCCTTCATGTTTATTAGACCATGGCCGGCTTCAGCTGAAGGCGTGGGAAATGGTCCTTTACTTTTAGACAGACAGGGTGATGACAGACAGGTTGATGACAGACAGGTTGATCACAGACAGGTTGATGACAGACAGGTTGATCACAGACAGGTTGATGACAGACAGGGTGATGACAGACAGGTTGATCACAGACGGGTTGATGACAGACAGGCTGATGACAGACAGGTTGATGACAGACAGGCTGATGACAGACAGGCTGATGACAGACAGGCTGATGACAGACAGGTTGATGACAGACAGGTTGATGACAGACAGGGTGATGACAGACAGGGTGATGACAGACAGGTTGATGACAGACAGGTTGATGACAGACAGGGTGATGACAGACAGGGTGATGACAGACAGGTTGATCACAGACAGGTTGATGATAGACAGGTTGATGACAGACAGGGTGATGACAGACAGGTTGATGACAGACAGGTTGATCACAGACAGGTTGATGACAGACAGGTTGATGACAGACAGGTTGATGACAGACAGGTTGATGACAGACGGGTTGATCACAGACGGGTTGATGACAGACAGGCTGATGACAGACAGGCTGATGACAGACAGGCTGATGACAGACAGGCTGATGACAGACAGGTTGATGACAGACAGGGTGATGACAGACAGGTTGATTGAAATGTGACAGACAGGCTGACAGATGATAAAAAACAGGCATGTGAAGAGATTGATAAGATGCTGGCGGGCAGAGAGATCCCTAAAAAAAGGTGATACAGTCGAGCTGAAGAATACTGCTAATATACTGGGTAAGTAAAGTAAAAAGTAAAGTTCCCTTTTCACGCCTTTCGGCGCATCGGGCATATGGGCAGAGCGTCCCATATTTTTACAGACCATCAGCACTCTGTGGGTAATGTGGTCAGCATTACGCCGGCTGTCTTTACTTTCCCAGGACAGCCCATCCTGGTCTCCATTTTAGGCTGGGTCGACCTGCGGCGTCCCCATACCACGACAAAAATCCACGCAGCCTGCAGTGGGTTTCGATCGCGGTATGCTGGCTTACGAGTCAGACTCGCAACGCCTTAGCCACGGACGCCAATATACTGGGTGGACAAGGATAATACTGCTAATATACAAACAACCACTGAAAGGACCCACAAACACAAACACAGACACAGACGGTCAGACTTACCCTATCCAGAAGAATCTCCTCGTACTCCCACTCTGCTCCGCCATTGGCCTGAAAGTTACACATAAACAGTCACATGGTAGGAGAAGTACATCGGAACATTATATTTAACCGTCCTTTTTAGGATGAATCTTTCGTTATTTGAAGCCCCACCCTGGCTCTTTCCAGGGGCTGCAATATAGCCTGGCCATGAATATGGCCTAAAGGCTGAACACGGGACGTTTCTGGGACGTCCACGGTGATCCTTATCCACATGGTGGCACATTGTGTCTATGGGTGTTTATCGCTTGTGTGATGTCCTGGTGGGGTAGAAAGTCAGTCAGTCGGAGAAGTACATCTTTTATACACACGGTAAGAAGAGAAGAAGTTGTATAGGAGGCTAGCTTTCAAATCCAGCTGCGACTCGCTGTAGCCACGGCCGGTGTTCGAAACCGGGGTTCACCCAGCCTCTTGTAAATGGGTACCAGAGTTGACACTCTGGGGTGAATGGAGGAACGTCGCTGAAGCTACGGAGTTACGTGCAGACAGCGACACAGGCGGAGAGTTTCTTATCAGCTGCCTGTACTGGTGGCAGAGCACTTATAGTTTATAACCGTGAGCAATGACGCTGGATCACATCTCCCGACTTTACCTTTTTAAGTGATAACATCGGGAAAGTTGGAGGAGAACAGAGGCACAGAGAGAGAGAAAGAGAAAGTAAGAAGATAATGGACAGACTGGCGTGAAGGCAAGTTAATATCATAAATTACTGAAAGTATAGAACGCTGTAACTACATACGCCCATGACACAACAGCTGAAGATGAGACATGTTCGGCTTCCAAGTCAACTGTAGGCAATTTGGCAGTAGACTGATCGATAGTGATTTTTAACATAAGCGTCATACCGTGTGTACGTGCCTGTGTGCGTGCATGTCTATGTGTACGTCTATATGTCTGTCCAACCACAACATAATGTCAGAAATGTGGTCTCTGTTGTCAGCATGATGTGTAGGTGTGTACGTATGTGCGTGCGCATCTATGTGTCTGTCAAACCACAACATAATGTCAGAAATGTGGTCTCTGTTGTCAGTATGATGTGTTCGTGCTTCTATGTGTCTGCCCAAACACAACATAAAGCTATACTCACATATTCTGAATCTGCGGCCTCCGAGTCGTCCGGCTGTGGAGTGAAACAAAAACAAAGCAATCAACGAAAGATCTCATCAATTATAAATACACTCACCAGTCATCGAAACATCGCTCCAGTTATATCAGCGGTTCTCAACCTTGCTAATGCCGCGACCCTTTAATACAGATACTCATGTTGTGGTGACCCCCAAAGCATAACATTACATTCATTGCTGTGTCATAACTTCAGTGAAATATGTGTTTTCCGATTTCCCTGTGACATCTGCGTTCAAACCAATCTCCCGCAATGAGTATTTTGATACTGACTGTATTGTGTTTTAAAACAGCAAATGTTTTTTTTTAAACTAACAAATGTACGTCCTCGGGTGTTTGCTGAATATCCTACCCCAAACAGGGGAAATCCACAGGTCACGGGACAGTCTAATATTTCATGGGGTGGTAGATAGGCTGCATGCAGTCATGGGACCTAGGCTGCATGCAGTTGTGGAACCTAGGCTGCACTCTCTCGTGGGACGTAGGTGGGTTGGGGTTAGGGCCAGTTGTAGATGTTATGGGGTCGTTAAAAGCTATAGAAAGCCGGGAAACCCTAGTCTTACCACACTCGACAATGTTGGACTGTCCCGTGACGTTATCTGGGGGGTAGGACATTACAAAAGAACCCTTCCTTGTAGAAAAGACACATCCTATGAAGTTTTAGCTTCGAAATAAATACAAGAGCCCCAGTCCCGCCCGAACCCCCCCCCCCCACGGGGTCGCGACCCCAAGTTGAGAACTACTAACTTATACAGACACCTGTTGTATCTATTTTCAAAGCGCTATTACACCAAGGGCGAGTCGCCGTGGTGTAGTTGCTAGATGCCCGCCAACAGATCCAACGATCCTGGGTTCAGGTCCTAATACAGCCGGGCTTTTTTTTTTTTTTTTTTTCAAATAAGCCTTCGGCATAAAAACTCTGTTGTAGCCACTCTTCCCCGCTGAGTATTCTGTTACTGACTGTTAGTGAGTTGCGTATCCTTTACAGGACGTTGCACAACCAACCCTAGCATTTGGGGGGTGAGGTGGGGGGGGGGGGGCCGCTGTTGTGGTTTTTCAAGGCATATTTAAGTCCAGTAGTTTGCCATTACTTTCTGGGAGGTTGGCTTCTCGATACCAATGTCGAAACCAGCGCAAGGCCCGCAGCTAGGATCCACCCCGGCATTACCAAGCGCGTTCGATGCGCCTAAGTCACAGACGACGACGATACAGACTATATTGTGTTTTAAAACTGTACATGTTATTTTAAAACTAACAAATGTACGTCCTTGTGCATAGAAGAACGCTTCTTCTTCTTCTTTTTTGCGTTCGGTTTGGTATGCTCAGATCAGACCATCAGGTGGGTTGCCTCTGTGAACTCGCATGTCAGTAGCAGGTCCTTCATGGTTCCCCATAGCTTGCTCTGCACACTTTACTCTTGGGGCCAGGTGTCTTTTCGAAATTTTATGTAGAGTGGGCAGGTCTGCAGAATGTGCTCAGTTGTTTGTGGTCCTGTTTGACAGGCACAGTTTAGGGACTGTACCATCTTTATTTTATGCATGTGTAAGTTAAGCCTGCAGTGTCATTTTCGTAGATGGAAAAGTGTTGCATGTTGCTTTCTGTTGAGTGTGCTGATGTGGTCTTGTGGGTGTTAACTGAAAACACGTGATAATGGTCCAAGGTTTTAGCTCTGAAATAAATACTACACAAGCAGAGACGCGGTCAGGAACGAGGATATCATGAAACAAGATGAGAAAGAACCAGTGCAAAGCTCCCACCAACAGACAACAGATCAAATTGTTCGGCCATGTGACAAGACAAGCAACAGACAGTCCTGTCACTCGGATACTGGGGTGAATTATGTCGAAATCCATAGTTGTGCCATAAACATGACCAATTAAGACACGTTTTTAGGGGTGCCTAGTTGGTCATGTTCTTAGTGCGCTTGTTTCCACAGCGAGGTGCATACGCCATTTGGGGGTGACAGGTTCGATTTCTGGCACGGTTACTATAGCTTTCAATTGTTATGTTGTCTACTGTGTCCATCTATCTTTCTATTTCTTGCTATGTCTATCAATACATTATCGGTCTGTTTATTACATACGTCATTCAGACACAACAGAAGCAGAGCTACAGGACGCCCAGGCAACCACCCAGCCCAATAACATCATTTACAATACAATTCTAAAGACAAGAGGGTAACAGCGTTGCACTGGGCGAGATGGAGAGCGCTGTCTCCTGCCAGCCATCACATAGCTACTGCCGGCAGAATGTGGACCGGCTCCAGGACGGCGCCTCTAACGCAACCACTGCGGTCATAAACACTCAATGATTGAGTCATGGACGACAACTAATATAACAGCAACAGCCGTAAGGTTATGACCGCTTCGAGTGCTGTTCCAACTGTCGCGTCTAGCCGGACATATATGTCTCCTTAAAACATGCTCGATGTGAGCCACCATTTGTACATACCAAGGGTGTCGGAACATGGCAGCTCATACTTAAAGCTCCCACTCACACGCACACATTTTTTTAGGGCGAACTGGCCTTCCTTCCCCCCCCCCCCTCCAACAATTTTGTAAAGAAGATAAGTAGCCCTTTTTCTTAACCACGTTCATAAATTCTTTTTTCACAGTGTCTGTTTTAACATTTCAATTTTTTTTATTTTATTGTACTGATTTATGATTCTGATCATTATTATGCTCTTTAACTAGGATTAGGCCCTTTGATACCCGATCCCCGTGTTTTCTCTGTGCTGGTATGTCTGATCCCCCCCCCCCCCAAATAATACTGGATGGAACACCTCAGCAGACAGTCAACAGACAGTCAACAGACAGTCAACAGACAGTCAGCAGACAGTCAACAGACAGTCAACAGACAGTCAGCAGACAGTCAACAGACAGTCAGCAGACAGTCAACAGACAGTCAGCAGAAAATCAACAGACAGTCAACAGACAGCAGACAGTCAACAGACAGCAGACAGTCAACAGACAGTCAGCAGAAAATCAACAGACAGTCAGCAGATAGTCAGCAGATAGTCAACAGACAGTCAGCAGAAAATCAACAGACAGTCAGCAGACAGTCAGCAGATAGTCAGCAGACAGTCAACAGACAGTCAGCAGACAGTCAGCAAACAGTCAACAGACAGTCAACAGACTGTGTATACTTCTCATTACATTATAATTCAAGGTAGGCAACTCTCTCTCTCTCTCTCTCTCTCTCTCTCTCTCTCTCTCTCTCTCTCTCTCTCTCTCTCTCTCTCTCTCTCTCTCTCTCTCTCTCTCTCTCTCTCTCTCTCTCTCTCTCTCTCTCTCTCTCTCTCTCTCTCTCTCTCTCTCTCTCTCTCTCTCTCTCTCTCTCTCTCTCTCTCTCTCTCTCTCTCTCTCTCTCTCTCTCTCTCTCTCTCTCTCTCTCTCTCTCTCTCTCTCTCTCTCTCTCTCTTTCTTTCTCTCTCTCTCTCTCTCTCCCCCGGTGCTGAAGTGCAAACGTAAATCGATTGACCATGAGAGCCCCTCAGCGGGCGGGAGACGGCACCGATATATCAGAGAAAAGACGAAGTGTCCCAGGCTTCTAGCATACAGTCAGGAGCTTCTACCGGACAGTTAGGGCCACTCACGGAAGTCAAACATTAGGGATTAGTTGCAGGCACAAAGGAGATATTTCACCACCGCATGCGCCTTTTGTGTCTCCCCACGAACACGTCCTCGGGGAAATACACTGGTACATTTATCTCAATCAGCTTGTGTACCCCAATCTGTTCCATATTTATGCTGACATCTTGGTCAAGGACAGGCCGAGAGCCCGTGAAACAACGCACGCGTGCCGACACAAATGAGGTTTGAGGTTTTGAACACGGGTAGTAACCCATAATTGCTCCATTCTTCTTCTAACTCAAATCTGAGTCCGAAGATGCTCAGCACAGTGCACATACTCTGTAGCACCGGCGAGGATCCTGAAATACTTTGAGTAGATTTTTAACTGCAATTGCTTTCCCAGGCAGCGCCGTTAGGCTACTGTTTTAGATGTCCTACTGTCGAGGGATTTTTTACGTGCGCAACAATGCACACGGGCGTCCGAGCTCACTACCCAGAGACCAGGGGGAATTTCCAGAAGTCCAAGTGAAAAAAAAAAATCTCCAGCCCTTACCAGGGATTGAATTCGTAACCTCTCCTCTAGCACTCGAGGCGGACACCCTGCCTCGAGACCACGCAGCCCCGGCAGCCGCAAGTAGAAATGGGAAAATATATCAAGCAAAAGAGAACCAGTAGGCTTCATGTAAACACAAATACAAATAACAAGTGAACGTTGCGGCACATTACATAAATAACAAATAAAATACATAAAGTCATTTAGCTGAGGTATACCCGGAAGAAGTCACACTGCTGTCGAGCCAGTAGAATGAAAGACACAGGTGGCCCTCAATAATACATACTAGCCCGAGAGCACCAAGCGTGGAAACTAAAAGATATTAGGTTTTTTTTAGGGGAGGGGGGGGGCGGATGTCATGACCCGTATTACCGCCCACACCTTCCGTCGTTAAACATTCCTTCTGTGTACATAAGAGAAATGAATGTCGTAGACAACGAGGCAGAGCAAGAACACTGTGGAGAGATAATACAAACAGACCTGCAAGTATTTAGAGTCAACTAAAAAAAGAGGGGAATTATTCACAGAGATATATTCACAGAGATAAATGGAGGCGGGCAGTATCTGCAGCAATGCACTTCGAAATGCTGAGAAGGAGAAAAATGTGGCTCTGTAGATTAGGGTATGACAGTTTTGGTCTGTCTGAAATGTCACGGTACAGTGTCATGTCAATCGATGACACCCGCGAGGTCATTGAAACCAAAATAAATGCTAACGCATTGATCCGCTTCTGTCTCTAGCCAGTCGTCTGTTGAAGTAAACCGTTTCATTCCCAGCATGCAGTGTGACATTTGCAGATTCTACCTCTTCGCATTCACCAATGTTAAACCCTAGTGAAAAGTTCTGGTTGTTCGTCCACTCCTGGACTTCAGT